AGTACTTTAAACTGTATAAATAATGTAAAATTAAATTGATTTAAACAGCCAATCATACGAATGTCTGCCTATGACAAGTGAAGCCTGTTGCCGGTAGTGTATTTTCCATATTAATTATATGTACAGTTTTAGTTCGAGTACCTTTTGGTAAAATGCTACTTTATGCCTATTAAGAATCCGGATCCGTTCTGATTTTTTTGCGGAACACTAATCAGATACATGATAGAGCTATCAAGAACCTGATACAAGGACACGGAATGCTTCCATTAGTAAATTCCAAATTGTTTATTACGTAAGCAACAACTATTCCATTTTATTACAATATGTGATATTATGTTTAAGCTCATTGATTGGTCAACCTTTGCAAGCAATTCTAATTTCGATTATTAAAATACGAACTTTAAGCGACTCGGTACTTAAATTATGCCTATCATCATCCAAATTTTGTTGTATACAGAAAAACCGTTCTACAGCACAAGCAGAAAGTGGCAATAATAGCGGGCAATTTTTTTCCAAAAGAGGAATTTGTGAAGAAACGTTGTTCCAAATGTATTTAGATCTGTCAATTCTATAGTACTCGAATTAAGATTACAATAAATTGCCCATTCTTGAATAAGAGATGGCGAAGGATTAATTAGCCCTTTAATAATTTGATAGGAAAAGATGTCCCGATTAGCAGTTGTTCGTTGTGTCAAAAATTTGAACTGCTTTAAAAACAAAGGACGTGCAAGATGTAATATACGGTTTTGTATGCGGTATTATATGCTTGCTGAAAAACTGAAATAAATGATGCTGGAGAGGCGTTAAAATTAGTTAGTGTTGTTCCCGCAATTATTCGTGCTTCAAGTTGGTTTAGTTTCTTGTTGAAAAAAATACAGATCAGCCACCAAATATTCTGCATTTTCTTGAATGAATGCCAAGTAAATTTCTATACAATCATTGAATTTTTTTTTACTTCATTATAAAATCCGCGAATATAATCTAAGTGCTGATATATATAAATAACATACGAAATCGTGTATTCCACCGCGTTGAATTAAACATTGTTGGATTAGACACTCCATTGCATGAAGATATGATATATAACGTGAGCATCTACTTTTATTCAACTTAAAAGTTTGTTTAATATTAATAAGTAGACGATGAATAACTCAATCGAAAACTATGCTTCTCTAAAAAAAATTAATAATTAATAAATAAATATAAAAATGAAAAAAAAAATATATATATATATAAATATAAAAAAAAAAATAAATATAAAAATAGTAACCCGATAAGAATGATGCGCCAAACATGGTAAGTGCATTAATTATAGGCTTCAATATTTCACGAAAACTTTTTTTCATCTAAGCCGCTGAATCAGATATCATTAATAATGATTGGTTAAAAGGAATTAACCATTGAGCCAAAATTTGAACTATGAGTTGGCCTATACCGCAATTATCAACCGTTTCTAAAAAATCAACATGACACCTTCATAACTAAGAAGTACTGTATATTAACTACACTTCGAGCTCTAACATCAGTAGTTTCATTCACGATGATTGAAACTCGTTTGTTATTAAAATATTCTTTAAGCTGATTGAGATGCTTTTCAAATACTCGTGGTAAATATTCACGTCGTAAAGTATCTGCTTTTGGTATAACTCCTCCCTCATAGCAATTTTTGCGCAACCATTCTTGAAGTTTATCTATCTTCTCTAATGGAATGTCCGTGGCAACAAATGCATCCACAAAGTCAAATACAGTAGCTTTTTTTTATTTGAGATTTATCAATTGTGGTTTGAAGTGTTGATTGATATGTTTCAGGATTGTTTTTCTTATTACTGATGTGCTTTTTGAGCAGTAATAACATTTTTTTTTGTATAATAATTAACACAAGTTTTTCATTGTCAACAAAAAAATCTTCGGAAAACTCTCTAGCACGAGAAAAAACGGGTATGCTAAAAGATAGTAGCATCTACAAATTTATAGAATATAAAATTGTAACAGTAAGTTTATATAGGTATCGCTAAAGACTTAACTTTACTATAACGATCGTATAATTGTGATTGGTTATTTGAACGTTAATTACACTAGTACCCTAGCCATATAGTTGCAAAAATTTCATTTTATTCCATTTTTATCGTAATGAAAGTATTCCCTGTCCCTGACCTGATAGCTTACCGTTAGCTTTCTCAATTCCTATTTATTTTTGTCACGGGATGTACCCAAAAATCAGAATATATTGTCTAATATGCTTTATTTCACCCCGTGTGCTACTGATGCTGCAATTTTAATGTCTTTGCATACGTTTATACCTATAAAACATTCAGAGCACCAATAAAAAAATCGAATAATGTACAAGATTTAAACTAGGAAAATAGAAACTATTAAAGGTCCAAAGAACAGTTGTTTATTTCTGTAGTATCCTTCGGACAATAATACCTTATATAGGGTCAAAGTCAAGATGGAGGTAAAGCTCAGTTTATATCAAAATTTAATTTTGCATGGATTTCTCTTGTTGGAGTTATTTTTCACAGCTATACAATAGGACCTTGAAAAGTTGAGACTTCAGATATATTAATTAATCAAATCTGTCAAGTATTGCAATAAAAATTAGTATTGCAGACTTTGTGCATAAGATCGGCACAATCGTTAAATTTACTAGTAAAGGCTAGTGTTTGAAAACTGTATGCCAATTATTTTTCTAAGTAGCAATGTTTGCACTGACAGAAAAATTACGGGTTAATAATTTATTTTTTAGGTTAAGCATATATTACACAAACTTATTAATTTAAGGGAAATTATAGGCATCTCTCGCGAGAGATATATCTTCTAAAATTCTTTAAAGTTTATTTATGTTAGGATAGCATTAGATTAGGGTTAGAGATAACCAAAACATATAGCCCGTTTTTTTGAAAAATAACCAATTTTTTCTTTGAACGAATATTTGTTTTTTGAATTTTTCTGATAGCGTTACGCTAGGCTCGCTATTGGGTAGGAGAAATATATCTCCCGCGGGGGGACACATCTCCCGCGGGAGATGCCTAGAAGCACAGTTAATTTAATATTTAAGAATAGTTAATTAAAAAATCTTAAGCCGTAACTCTTTTTTTCTTTTGCTACGTTATACCGTAAATGTGTGTATACCCACCATGAATTAGACCCTGGTGCGAACCGCGGAGTCTTTATTAATTAAATGCGGTTTTTTCAAATAGATAGACTGTCTATTATAAGTACAAAGTGTGTATGTACTTTAAATTTTTTTCTTTTCAAGATATAACCTCTGGGCGTATACCAGACCCGGGGCCTATTAAGTAGCTGATCCGAGTCTTGTATACGCATATTTACGGTACTAATTGGTTTGGGAATATATAGTTGGTATATGAAATGAAACGTTTTTTTTTTTTAATATTAGTTTTCAGCTAATTTTTACTATACACCTGAAATAGATGATCGACACCCTTAGATCAAGTATGTGAGAAAATCACTTTTTGACAAACCACCTACGTTTTAGCAAAAAAAAAAAAAAACCTCATGATCCTAAAACTAATATTGAATTTTACTACGTCGGAAAATTGTATTAATGATATGATTAGTTCAACCATGTGGTGCATTTCTCACGGTACTACGGGGTACGTATCTGGTACGTACGTACGTACGTATGTACGTAGCTATATCTTTCATACCGAGGCATGCACTACAATGATCATCATATAACAACATTTTTAGTTTAGTTAGTCAATTTTGATTCGAAATTATGAATTCGAAATTGCTAAAATTTTTTAGAACATGAAATTTAAAAGCGTTACAGCATTATTAGTCATACAAAGAATAACGCTGAATGTACTTCTCAGTGACATATAACTAGTAATATGTGTATACTTACAGAGAGCATGCATTTTTATGGTGCATTTATTTTAAGGTTTGTAGGTTTACTGAGCAGAATATAGATGGTGTGTTATATATTTATCAGCTCGATAATTTTAAATATTTTTTTTTAAAAAAATATTCTATAGAATCTTTGGAATCACAATGATTGCTTGTTCTACAAATTATCTAGATAATGATAAACAATTAATGGTACTCAATATTTTATAAATATTTCAGCTAGTGAAACGATCTTAATTAGTATAAGTATTAAATTTAAATTAATGTAAAAAAATTTTCATTCTTATAATATACAACCTATATTTTTTTTTCTTTATTCCCACTTTTAAACCTACCTTCCTTTTCCTATAAAAACAAAAAAAAAAAAATGGGAAACGCTTTAAAAAAGTTACGACCCAATAATCAAAATGATTCTTTGAACTCATCTGCTATTTTCTCATATGGCCCCAACCATGAGCTGGATATTGACATAGAAAACTCTAGCTTAAGGCATAATATTGTTCGTGAACTGTTCAAAGGGAATATTTCTTCTCCTATTCATGATGAATTACAACTTGGTGGGCTTAGAATATTAGATGTTGGGTAATATTATATGATAATTTTTTGTTTTAGATGTGTTATTTTATTTCATCAAACTAATCTGTTTTTTCATTTAGATGTGGTTCAGGTACTTGGTTATTTGAAGTATCATCCGATTATCCACTTTGTGAATGCATTGGAATGGATAGGACCAAGCCTTTTATTGACAATAGACCAAAGAATGTGAATTTTGTTCTGGCTAACATTCTGGAAGAATTTCCATTATGCGATAATTCATTCGACTTCGTATACGTGCGTAACTTATCATATGATTTAACAGAATTTCAATGGACTCATTTAATTAATGAATGTATTCGAGTCTTAAAACCTGGTTGTTATTTTGAGGTAAATGCAAATGGTTTTATTTGCTTAAGTATGTAATATTTCTTTGACCCGTATTGATCATTTTATCATTTAATTAGGTAACAGAAACCGAGCTTTATATGAACAATACCGGACCTATTATGAAAAAGATGGTGGGCAATGGTAAGAAACATAAATGTTTTGAAAAAAATTAATGATATTGTTTCTTTTCTGATTACTAATACACTTATCTTATATAATAGTGCTCAAATTTCTTTCTTCCAAGGGTATAAACCTTCAAATAATCGGTAGAATTCAAGAAATTCTAGAGTCTACTCAAAAGTTACAGAAAGTTACTCATATTGTTCGCCCATTTCCCATGGGTTCTTGGCGCAAAGAGCTGAGATACGCATGCGAGACATATAGTTGTGACATAATGCGTGGCATCTCTGCAAAATTTGGAGGTGTGAAGACAAAAAAAGAAAATGAAGAAATGTTACAAAGGCTTGTTGCAGAGGCCAATAATTATGGATCATATTTTAATATACACAAATTTTACGGAAAAAAGATTTAATTTAAATATGTATACGTATGCAAATCTTGATTCTGCAATTAAGATTATGATTAATATAAATAAGTATGCTCTAACGCATTTACTATAAAACGCACCTATGGTGGTTTTGCACCTATTATATGTTTTTATTATATTCTTTATACAAAATTTTTAACACAAATTTTTTCACATTAGGGTTAATTTTTAGCGTTAAGGTTAGGGTTTGGGAAGGGTTTTTTGGGCATAGAACATTCTTGCTTAAGGGCATCTCACACCGATTAATTGGCAAGTTTTTGAGATAATATACATTGGTGTAAAACACCATAGGTCGTTTTAGTAAAAGTTTTCTAAAATATGTATCTTAGCCATAACTTAAATATACATTTAATTTTGTAATTTAGCATGTATTTTATTTATCAGTCTATTTATCAGTTTATCAGTCTATTTATAAGTTTATTTATTATATTAATTAAACTAACCAGCGTAATGTTATGGCATAAGAACACAATTTTCTCATTTAAAATTTTTGTTATATGAAGCTTTTTTTTTATTTTGCTAAACGTAATATGTTGAAATTTATTAATAAAAGGTGGGGAAACTATCCACTGAAGACTTAATTCTCAAACTTTATATCAGCATATAAGTTAAAAGTCCCTTATATTGATAGCACGTGATTTAAATCACGATGATGACAATCTACGGAACTCATACAGCAGCAAAAGTTTCATTTTTGATAGATCTGCGGTTACATTTTTGATAGGCGCAGATCATACCCTAAATTTAGATAGC